ATATAGCAATAGTCAAAAAGGTAAAAAGCATTCAAATAGAGAAAAGGTGATGTCCACAAAATCAGCAAATAACCCAAATCCAAGTTAGGAGACAAATCAGTCCCAAAATCCAAGAAGCAAATCCATAGGAAGAAAGTCTTTCTTTTCCAAAGGTGGCAAATGCAAAAGTCCCTTGAAGAAACAGGAGCCAACTTGAATCAAATAATCTAAATGCAGTAGCTTGAAATCACAAACACCAGCTTACAAAAATCTCAGCATGTGCATGAATACAAAGCAAGATTATACATGATTCCCCGCATGAACAAGCAAGCATGAAGCAGGCATGAAAACCAAATGTTGGACTTACTGAAGAGTATAGACTCACAGGCCCTATATTTATTCAGAAAGCCATGGCAAAAGCATTCCCTTTCCCTTGGGAAACCTCTCCCTGACCCCCTGATTCTCTTAATCTTTCAGACCGTCTTCTGCCCCCTTCCAGGTATGATGATGATTGATTTGACTTCTCCTATCAAAGACTGGACTACTGCAATGCACTCTACGTGGGGCTGCCCTTGAAAACGGCCCAGAAATTTTAGATGAGCGGCAGCCAGGTTGTTAACTTGTGCTCCTTACAGGGAGAGGTCATCCCTCCTGTTCAAGGAGCTCCACTGACTGCCATTCATCTACCAGACCCAATTCAAGGTGCAGGTTCTTACCTACAAAGCCCTGAACGGTTTGGGACCCGCCTACCTGTGTGACCGCATCTCTGTATACGAACCCACACGATCTCTTCGTTCATCTGGAGAGGCCCTGCTCTCGATCCCACCAGCATCGCAGGCACGATTGGTGGGGATGAGAGAGAGGGCCTTTTCGGTAGTGGCCCCTCAACTCTGGAACTCACTCCCTAAGGACATCAGGCAGGCCTCAACCCTGGGGTCTTCAGGAGGAGCTTGAAGATGTGGTTGTGCGAGTGTGCCTTCCCGGAATAATGATCCCATAGCACTTTGTCCCTCCAAAGCACTTTATACTTTTAGGTCTGCTCGTATGTCTTCCACAAACGCCACTATCGCCTTTTCGTCCATGCCTCAGCACTTTTCCAATTTTAATTTTTACATTTGGCCTTCCCACAATTTTTAATTGTATGTTGTCTTATTGATAATGTTATATGTTTATCGTTTATGTTTTATTTTAATTGCTTGTATTGTTGTATTATTGCCTGCATTGTTGTGTTTGGGCTTGGCCTCATGTAAGCCGCACCGAGTCCCTTGGGGAGATGGTATCAGGGTACTAATAAAGTGTTGTTGTTGTTGTTGTTATTATTATTAAGAGTGTCTGGTCGTCCCTCAGCTTGCCAATTAGTACATTCCTTTCACTATCACTATCTGGCCTTGGCCGTTCAACCTTTTCCTCGGCCCCTTTTTCTGTTAGCATCGAAGCATCTTTGCCTTGGGAACCAACGATCCCAGAATCCTCTGGTTCACTCTGGCTAGAACCAGATACTGTGTCAAAGAAGAGTTCAGATTCAGAGCCTCAAGAGAAACAATGTTTGTTCATCTTGTCAGGCAGCCCATCTAAAGATTACTTAGAAACCATTTCTATTAACAACAAAGACATGAAAGGACTTCGAGATACAGGCTCTGAAGTATGTATAGTGCATCCAGAAATAATACCTCAGGAATTTCAGCGGCCTACCTCTGAAATAAGATTAAAAGGTTTAGGACCTGCGATACCAACAGCAGTAGTGACTTTGCCAATAGAATATGGAGGATGGAAGGGTATGTGGGATTTTGCAGTCAGTCCTGACATACCATACAGATGTTTAATTGGAAATGATTTGGCTAAGAAGATTGAAAGCTGGAGGATGACGTGTGAAGAGGAAGAATATAACAACGAAAGCCATGATCAAAAAGCCATGTGTTTTGCCATACAACAGGATGGGGAGGAGAGTCCGGAATCCAGCGCTACGGTTGCTGAGCTTGTTAAGAAGACGGGAGGAATTGAAGAAATTCGGCAGGAACAAGGAGCCGATGAATCTCTTAAACCTCTATTCGCTTTGGCTCAAAACCCCACAATATTGGCAAAAGAACAGCCCTCCGAGTTTGTGTTAAAGAATGGTGTTTTATATAGAAAAACCAGGAATGTGGAGTCAACAGAAGAATCAGTGACAAGTAGTCAAATTGTAGTGCCTCAAAGTTTTAGAGAACAGCTGATGAGGGTGGCACACGAAAACCCTCAAGGTGGACATTTGGGTGTGAGGAAAACCACAAAGAGAATCACTAAGAACTTTTATTGGCCTGGCGTGTTCCAGAAGATCAAAGAGTTTTGCCAGTCTTGTGACATCTGCCAAAGATTGAGTACTGGAAGGGATAAAATTAAAGCTCCTATGATCCCTATGCCAATAATTGGAGAACCATTTTACAGAGTGGGCATTGACATAGTGGGTCCTCTTTGTAAACCAAGCAGACGTGGTTACCGATACATTTTAACCATGATTGACTACGCCACAAGATATCCAGAGGCTGTAGCTCTAACTAACATCGAGACAACAACGATTGCAAATGCACTGTTATCCATTTGGGGAAGAACTGGTTATCCTAGAGAATTGGTTTCAGATTTGGGAACCCAATTCACTTCCAGACTTATGTCGAAATTGCTTGAGTTATGTGGTATCAGACACCTGACTTCAACAGCTTATCATCCACAGACAAATGGACTAGTTGAAAATATGAACAAGACTTTAGTCAAAATGATAAAGTCTTACAGTCAAGAGAAGCCATACGACTGGGACGTCAAATTGCAACAACTGTTATTCGCCTACAGGACCGTCCCTCATGACAGTACTGGCTACAGTCCATTTGAATTGCTATATGGAAGGAAAGCTCATGGTCCATTAGACCTGATAAAGGAATATTGGGAGGAAAGTCCGGCAACAGATCCAGTTCCAGTGTCGGAGTATTTAAAGGATCTTCAATCAACAATGCAACTGGCTAGGGACATTGCACAAGAACATTTGCTTGCGGCTCAGCAGAGACAAAAAGACTATTATGATTCTACTGCTAAACCAAAGATCTTCAACATCGGAGATGAAGTTTTATTTTTATCTCCCAACAAAACCAACAAACTTCAATTGGATTGGTCGGGACCCTGGAAGATCATCAGAAAACACAACCAAATAAACTATGATATTTATGATGAACATTCCAATGTAGAAAGAAGAGTCCATATAAACATGTTAAAGCCTTATGTTGAAAGGTCTGCTAATGTATGTTTTGTTGTTTCGGAGGAAGAATCCGGTCCCTTTTCTTTTTGGGAGGGTGATCGTGAACAGTACAAAAATTTGGATCGGGTAGAAATGAACATAGAATTGTCCCAACCACAGAGAAGAGAGGTTGTGAAAGTTTTGAGTAAATATAAAGACATATTTTCAGATTTGCCAGGAAAGGTCCAGGGAGTCCAGCATCAAATAAACACCGGTGATGCAACTCCCATAGTATCTCCACCCTACAGGGTCACGGGGAGAATTAATGAGTGTATTGAAAAGGAGATTAAAGAAATGTTGGACCTAGGTATTATTGTTCCATCAGTTAGCTCTTGGGCTTCACCCATAGTGTTGGTACAGAAGCCAGACAAGACAATTAGATTTTGCGTGGATTATAGGCGGTTAAATAAAGTAACCCAGACAGATACTTACCCTATGCCACGTTTAGACGATCTGCTAGAAAGGATGGGGAAGGCCAACTTTATTAGTAGTATAGATCTGACTAAAGGATTCTGGCAAGTGCCCATGGCACCACAGGATCGACACAAAACCGCCTTCCGAACCCAAAGTCGGTTATTTGAATTTTCTGTCCTCCCTTTTGGGCTAAAAAATAGCCCAGCCACATTTCAGAGATTAGTAGACAGTGTTTTAAGTGGGCTGGGGTCTTTTTGCGTGGCCTATATCGATGATATAGGGATTTTCAGCGATTCCTGGGAAGCTCACCTTGAACATTTGGATCTGGTGTTAAGCAGGTTGAGAGAAGCAGGGTTAACTATTAAGGCTTCTAAGTGTAAGATAGGATACAATGTTACTAAGTATTTAGGACATTTAGTGGGAGGAGGTCATATTCGACCTGACCCTACTAAAGTGGCAGTTATTCACCAGTGGCCAGTGCCCAAAACGAAAAAACAGGTTAGGGCATTCCTTGGATTGGCTGGATACTATCGCAAATTTATCCCATCTTTTAGTAATTTGGCGGCCCCTCTTTCGGATCTTACCAAAAAGAAGAACCCGAACCAGGTAATTTGGACTCCAAATTGTCAAACTGCCATGGATCAATTGAAGAAATCAATTACATCGGAAAGTTTCAGGTTTCAAGCACTTTATTAGGGAAAGATACAAAGTCAAAGGAGAGGGGAAGTTACCTGGAGTTGCAGGCA